CATAGATACTTTATTATGGTATAGTATTTAAATATATGCCTGAGAAACACATAATATTGCCCCTTTAAAATAAGGTAAAAGAAATAGAAAACAGAAAAAGCTGTTTTGCCCCCGGTACTCTGTAACAGAATTACACATCTGGAATGGGAGCGACTGAAAGTAGAGTCGAGAAACAAACTCAAGCATCAGTCCTATCCTGCTGGTATCGATACAATCCAACATCTGCAAAAAACAATCTGATTTGTGTCACTTTTGCCTGCAGTGTGAACCTTTAACTTGTCAGTATATAAATCAGTGATAAATCAGATGTTTGTTTTTTATTAGAACAGGAAAAAACTAACTTCAGGACCTGACATGTCTGTGGTGTCTTCATTCCTCCTCCTCGCCTCTCGTCTTAGTGCCGCTGGTGTCGAAGGTTTGTCCCAGCGACGTGTACCGGGTGTGGAAAAGCGGCTCGTGCCTCCGCGTGGACACGACCCTCCTCGGCTTCGAACACATGACGTGGCTGAAAGGGCGGCGCAGCTACATCTTCAAGGGGGAAGGTGGGTGCCGCCGTGCGGAACGGGCAGAGGGGTTTCACGTCTGGCCAATTGGGGCTCTGCTCTGACTTCCCGTCCGCTCCGTTTGTCCCTCCTCTGAAGATGACGGCGCCGTGGTGATGGAGGTGGACCACGAGAAGCAGGTGGTGTACACCGAGCCGCTCGTGTTGTCTCCTCGGGACGCGCCCTCCCTCCTGGCCGCCATGCAGCCGTCGCAGGAGAACACGGCTCAGAGACTCACGTCGCCCATCGTCTCCACGCACCTCAACACGAGAAACATCGCGTTCGAGCGGTGAGAACACAACATAACGTCGCAGAGTTTTAATCGCCAAACGAGCAAAATCTGTCTCTAAAGCTCTCTCTGATTTAACGTATCACATCAGGAATAAGTCGGGAATCTGGGGCTGGCGCTCGGAGAAGACCGAGGTTGTCAGCGGGTACGAAGCCAAGGTAACTGACCTCTCCTAATTGTTTTCTTTTTTTAAATTATCTCCTGAAAGTCTGATCTCCTTTTACTCCATTAGTTGTCTGTGGATGCGTATCATCCAGCATTAATCGAAGTAAAACAAGCTATCAGTCAGAATAATGAACAAAAGTCAGTTATTTAAGTTTATGAACTGGTTTAATTTATGAAGTGACACATTACAAAGAGCCCCTACATGCTCCATCTAAACCTGCAAAATMATCTTTTATTGTCACAGTTACGTGACAAACGTGTCATTTTGTCCCCTTCTCATCACAACACTTGTGCTGAACATTTACTCACAGTCGACACAGGCTCAGAAGATGGGTGTGTTTGTTAGGCAGCATTTTTGCTTTAACTCCTCCTGTTCTAGAAGCTGACTGTTGTGCGTCCAAACAACACGGATGGTGTTAAGGAGCAGTTGTCTGAGGCCAGAGTTGTAAAGTAACTAAGTACAAATACTTTGTTACTGTACTTAAATAGAATTTTTGGGTATCTGTACTTTACTTGAGTAATTATTTTTCAGCCTGCTTTTTACTTCTACTTCTTACATTTTCACACAGTTATCTGTACTTTCTACTCCTTACATTATTTTAAAAAAGGCAAGAAGAAGAAAGTTTCTTTTATTTAATTTTTGCTTGTTTTCATTCCAGCTTGTTATTGTAAAAAATAATACTATCCATATAAATTGTGCCTCCTAGATAGAGTGCATTTAATTGTGGTTGAATGAGAAGTATAAATATAAAATTCTGATACCGTATTAATTTGTACACCAAAAAATCATGTCACACTTCAGCAGGACATAATCATTAAAATAAAAGGACTGTACTTAAGAAGTATTTGTATTTCATGAATTATATTATTGCATTTGGCCGCAGCCCTCAGATTTTTATTTTGGGGAAAATGTTTGGTCACCCTTGATATGTATATAAACTGAAACAGCTGGACTACATCCTAAATTTAACATAAATTAATTATTTTAATACGGCAGTCATTCCTGCATTTTTTCGGGGGAGGTCATCTCCTAATAAATGTCCTTACAGAAAATCTAACTGCTCATTTTAAATCAATACTTTTACTTTTAATACTTAAATACAAAAAATATCAGATGCTTTCAGACTTTTACTCAAGCAGTGTTCTTAAAGGAGACTTTAACTTTTACCAAAGTAGTTTTTTGGTAAGATACTTGTACTTTTACTCAAGTATCACTTTGTGGTACTTTATACAAGACTGTCTGAGGCAGTCAGAAAGTACGTTCATCTATATGACTCTTAGACACTTAAAAAGATAATGAAATGGTTAAAAACTCCTGGATGGAGAGAGATTTTGTGTACAGAGAAATCCGTCTGCTGAAAAGTGTGGAGCTCTAACTTCAGCCTGGGCTGTGACGTGTTCAGCAGCAGGAGGGCTTTCCCAGGAGCTCAGTGTCGTGTGTCTGGTGATTTATGAGAGGTGTGAGGCAACCACGTGACCTGGAGTCAACTTTTAGACTTCATTAAGTTTAAACACATCATCTGTGTGATTGATTACTTGTTTACTTAAAGACTGGATGTTTCCTGAAGTTTCCTCATCGTGTCTTTGAATTTCTTTTAGTGATTGTTGACTTTCTAATCAGACCTGAAGTTTGCTTCAGATCTGGATCCTTCTTTAGCAAACTTCATCATTGATTTACAACATGACAATAATGCTTACAGGGATCCAAGATTAGTTTTAACATTAGACTTTATTTGATAAACATATATTTTAACTGTAAAATAAAGACTGTAAAAATACTGTAGGCTGTTTAATTTTTATCATTTTTAAACTAAATTTATAAAAATATTTTAACACAGATGGAGCCGTTTTATTTACACGCAAAGCATTCTGGGTAAATGATGATGTGGTTAGGTCATCGGTGTGAGCGAGCTATGTCCACCCTGAAGGTTAATCTTGGACAATATCTGATGATCGACTCTTTTAAATGAAACCAGAGAGCGTTGACAGAGAGGAGAMGGTAGAAATGACTCAGCCTGTAACTGAAAATATGGATGGAGGACAACAGAGCTGCTTCATGGAAGAAGAACCTCAGCTTAGCCTGTTAGCTTTAGAGTTAGCCCCGACGCTATTACCATACATATGTATTAGCTCAGTGCTACACATTCTCCTCTCGTCACTGAGGTCCTCCATCCACATGGCAGAGAGGGGAACACAAAAATGACTCAGCTGCAACTGAAAATATAGATGGAGGACCTCAGTTTAGCTTGTTTGTTTGTCACGCTAGCACCGAGCTAATACATATAAGGCAATATAGCATCAGTGCTAAAGCTAACAGGCTAAGCTGGGGTTCTTCTTCCATGAAGCAGCTCTGTTGTCCTCCATCTATATTTTCAGTTACAGGCTGAGTCATTTCTACCTTCTCTCTGTCGACGCTCTCTGGTTTCATTTAAAAGAGTCGATCATCAGATATTGTCCAAGATTAACCTTCAGGGTGGATATGGCTCGCTAGCAGCCTCGCACCAAGGACCTATCCACGTCATGATTTACCCAGAATGCTTTGCATGTAAATAAAATGGCTCCCTTCATGTTAAAATATATTTTTAAAAATTTACAAAACTAAACAGCTTACATTATATTATATTTATATTTAAAGTCTAATGATACAAATAATCATGGATCCGTTTAAAATCAGGCTTTGAGTTGTTGAAATCATTCTCTGGAGCCTCTAAAAGCACCGTAAAGGTCTTTATTTGAAGTGTAAAAGGTGTCTGTTTGTGTGTTCAGGTTTACAGCGCAACCAATGTGGAGCTGGTGACCCGTTCGAGGACAGAGCATCTGTCGGACCAGGACAAGTCCAGGAGCAAAGGTGACCACACAGTCACACTCACAGGAAGTTCAGCTTGTTCACTTGATGATGTTGCGTCTAATAGTTTCGCTGCAGTGTGTTCATTAATCAGATCTTGGTTGTTCTCAGGCTCAAAGACTCCCCTGCAGTCGTTCCTGGGCATTGCTGAGCAACATACGGCTCACAACGGGGTAAGAGTCTCCGAGGTTCTTGTTCATTCCCACTCATCCTCTGACGAGCACTCACAGCTGCGTCTCTGTCCCCCCGTCAGAGCAACGTGTCCCAGTGCGCCAGTCCCCACAACCCCACAGCCATCACARCCGAGGAGTACTTCAACCCAGAGTTCAATCTGAACGGCCGGGACATCGGACGCCCCGTCGAGCTCACCAGTAAAGTCCAGAGGTACGGCGAAGGCAGCGTGACACGGTTCACGTCGTGTCTGAACGTAACAGAAACTGGAACTGTGTTTTTTACGTTTAGGTTCAAAGCCACGCTGTGGTTGAGCGAGACGCACCCTCTGTCCCTGGCTGAGCAGGTGACGCCCATCATAGACCTCATGGCCATCTCCAACGCCCACTTTGCCAAGCTGCGTGACTTCATCACCCTGCGCCTGCCTCCGGGCTTCCCCGTTAAGATCGGTGAGTGGAACCAGAAGGTTGGCTTCGATCTGGAGACGCCGCTCAGCGGGCGGAAGCCGCAGCGAAGCAGCTCTCCTCTTGTCTGATCCTGGGTTTTTGTTTTGGGTTTCAGAGATTCCTCTGTTCCACGTGTTGAACGCCAGAGTGACGTTCAGTAACCTGTGCGGCTGCGACGAGCCGGTCAGCTCCGTGACGGTTCACAAGCCCGAGAACACAGAAGAAGCTGGTAAGTCTCGACTCATCGACACACGTATTTAAACGGCACAAACAAATATACAGCACAGATCCAGCTGRCGGTTTTAACGCATCATTTTCCACACGACTCGCCCCTCAGGTGAGGCCGCCCCTGCCTTCCACTGTGAGGTCGACCCCTCGGTGTTTGAGCCCCCCTCGGACTACACCGTCCTCGGTCCGGGTCGCAGCGAGCCGATGAGGGACGAGGATGACAACCTGCTGCAGTTCGCCATCCAGCAGAGCCTGCTGGACGCCGGAACGGAAAGTGACCAGGTCAGAGCTCGCAAGGGTTAAAGCAGAAAACAGATTCATTTATTGCCTACGTTTGAATTGTTTGGTGTTTTTTCTATCTGTGCCTATAAACTAGTATTAGTAATATTTTTAATAAGAATAAGAATAATGCTTCAGGGCCAGTGTTACAGGGATATTCAAGTAACACACAACTTCAAGTTTTTACATTTTCTCCATATCTGTGTACATAACATCGCTGCTAAAATTTATTCTATTTTTCCTCCTCACAAGAAAACTTTACATTTAGAACAACGGAACAGAAAAAGTAAAACAAGGATTAAAGAAAAGACACACCTATTAGAACAATTCTGGGGTTAAACAGGAGAAAGTACTGATGAGGACCAGGCAGGAAAAAAAAAGTAGAGAGAGGATGTCGTCGCCTCTCACTTTAAGGTGTGTGTCCTATTTATTTTCTTGTAGTCCAAAGTTAAATGCTCCATACTCCACTGATTAATGATAGTAAACAGCTGCTAAAATGTTCATAGTATTTATTTTATTCTTGGTGCTAAAGGCCTGGTGTCTTCATCTTACCTGAGGGCTTGTCCTGCTCCATGTTTATTGTTAAAACTGAATTTGTTTTTTTAGATTTAATATGTCAACATATTCATGTACCTTTTCCAAAGACAAATATACACTTTAGATACGACATAACGTTCATTAAATAAAAATTGTCACATTTAAAAATACATAATTATTAGCATTCATGTCTTAGCTGATAAGCTATTATTGAATGTTGCTGTTTCAGGGAAAATATTCATGTTTTCCGGCCCAATTTTAAAGAAAACAATTCCTACGATTGTAAAAATATAAGTTTGCTGAAAATTAAAATCTTAATTTCTTCGCTTCAAAGTTGTCATGAGAAGTCTGCTGGAAGTACGTTCTGTTTTTTAAKCTGAATGTCACAAACTGGCAGCTCATGCATTTAAAACAAAACATGTAGAGTTTCGGTCCAACAGGTGGCAATAATGAGCTTATTCTTCAGCTGTTTATTAGAAAGAAATAATTGTTTTAGAAGAAATTAGACAAAATATTTTGTGCCATTTTAGTCCTTAAAGGATCTACAAATGTGGAAAATGAGCCAATTTCCTCTTCAATCACTTCGTTGTGACTTATGAGAACAAATGAAGYGGTCCTGTCTCGTTCTGGTGTAGTTTTGTCACAGAAAACAGACTTTTCTTTATTTTCTAACACTAATATCAGTGCTGCCAGTCGGTGGTTATTTAGTTTTTATCTTCCATYTGAAGCCTGTCACCGTCTGGTTTGTAGGTGACCATCTGGGAGGCGCTGACCAACAGCCGCCCGGTGCCTCAGTCTCCGCTGTACGAGGAAGACTCTCAGCTGGAGAGGTGAGCCGTTTGCCTTTATTCCCGTCTTCACACAGATAAACCTGACTGTTGTCAGAGCATCACATTATTAGACCTCAATAAGCAATTAAGTCAGTTTTAAGCACAGAAATTAGATACGTAAATCAAATATTGTCTTGTTAGATATAAAGTTTGTTTAACAGGAGGTTAACTCAATAAGTTCTTTGGGAATATCTCTGGCTTGAAGTGTAATYTTATTAATTAAATCTTTTAAAAAGACTCCTGTAATTAGATCTTTTTACCTCGAGAGCCTCGTTTCTCCTCTAATTAAGTTTTAAATGGGAATCTGGGAAACTGTCCTTTCTTTAAGAATTCTTGATGTTTTCTCTTCATTTTGTCTGGTCTCAGGGCGATCCAGGAGTCCCTGTCTATCTCTCTGGCCAGCAGGGAGGGYGAGGACCTGACCGACCTCAGCCAGCCCTCCTCGGTGTCCCCGCTGGACCCCACCGCCAACTCCCCTCTGTCCTTCAGGACGGAGACCGACCCCCAGCTGTCGGGACCCTTCGGCGTGGCGAGCAGTTTCGACGAGCAGCTTCGAATGGCCATGGAGCTGTCGTGCAGGGAGCAGGAGGAGATCGACAGGTGAGGGTCGAGTCTTTCCTCTTCCTCAGACAAAAGTTTTTTTTTTATGTTTGGACATTTTAAACCAGGGGTTCTTAAACGTTATGAGCCTGGAGACCCCTTACAATGGTAGCGAATTTCCAGGGACCCCTTTATAAACCCCATGCTGTTATACAAGTAATTTACTGTCATTTTACCTCCTAAATACCATGAGAATATAATCTTTTGTTTGGTTTAGTATGTTTCTTCTACTAGTCTATTGTTCTCTAAATGCATTTTTTAATTAAAAAATCAAATGAACAATTTATTGAAGATTTTTGAGGACCCCCAAGATACAACTCACGGACCCCTGGGGGTCCTGGGACCCCAGTTTGAGAACCTCTGTTTTAAACCATTCATGTCTCCATGTGGTGCAGATCAGAAGACATTTGTTCTTTTATTCACAGTTTTCCTCAAAGAAAGCACAGTTCTGTTTTTAAAAACGTCAGTGTAAGACATAAGGATTGTTTTAAAGTTTAAAGGATCAAAAAATAAAAACATTTTAAACTGTTTTTGGAAAGCGATGTTTTAATCCTTATAACAGTGTTTATACTTTTAACTGGATAACAAAAGGCTAAATAAAATACGAAAGTAGAACAGTAACTAAAAACTAAAAGTAGCACATCAGTAGTCTAAAGGTAACAAAAGGCTAGCTAAAAGCTAAATGAAGCAAAACAGTTGTTAAAAGCAAAAAATAGCATTTAAAATAAAAAGAGAGCCAGTGTGGTGAAGCACTTTTCTAAAAAATCTATTTTATTTCAAGGTATTTTTGAGACCTCGCCGTATTCTTGTAAGGAAAGAATACAAAGATTTGTAAATAAAATTAAATATTTTAAAAGTGTAAAAGCTACAAAAACTAAAATTAACCACACCGTCTCCTGAATGAGCTGAACAGTTTGATAAATAAAAAATCAAAAATAACACATTCTGTACGGAAAACAAAAACGTACAGAAAAATAAAATTACTTCCAATATGATTTGTTACAACAATGGTCAAACGTAAGCTTTAACGGAACAATAAAACTAGGTCGGCTAAATATTAATTACTGATAATAATTGGCTGATTATTAAAACAAAAACAACTAAACAAAGAACATGAGAGGGGAGCACCGAGGCGAGCGTTCACAGAACCATCCAGGATGTAGAAAATAAAAAGTTAATAAGATGCTAAACTGAATCAGATTTAAAGAGCAGAAAAACACATTTGATTCTGTCAAACAACAAAAATGCTGATTTTATTGGGGAAAAAAATAAAATTATATAAGCTGTTGAAGTGAAAGCTGTTGTGACGGTGAAAGAATCTTGGATGTAAATTATTTTTTAAAATAACTTCCTGTCTTCAACAGATTTGCTGAAATCTTAAATGAAGGCTGTCGTTGATTAAAACTTTCCTCCTCCTCCTGTCTCTTAGGAAGAGGAAGGAGGAAGAGGATGAGCTGGAGAGGATCCTGCAGCTGTCTCTCACCGAGAAGTAATGTAACACCGAGGAACAATCACCTTAATTTATTCTGTTTTTATTTTTGGATCCCGAGACATTAAATTATTATTATTATTATTATTACAGATATTTTATTTGTTTTTCTGACACAAAGGCTGCTACCACAGATTGTAAAGGAGCCGACACGGGTGGAGTAGAAAGAAAACTGAACACTACAACCAGTAAAGGAGGAGACTAAAGGGAGTCTTTGTTTTTATTTTTTTTATTGAATATTTTTCACAGTCTTGCTGTCTTTGAGTGACGAACGATCCTTAAACTTATACGATCCACTACAGTGATGAAACTTAATGGAATAACTTATAAAAACACGATTATAACGTTTAAAACATTTATGTTGGCTTTACTCTTGCGTGTGGAAAAATAAAAATAAAAAAAATACAAAGATCAACCCTGAATGTGAGCTTTTAATTTTATTTTTCAACTGTATCAATCTGAGGAACTGTCAATTCAGTTTAAAACACTAAGTTTGTACAAAAACTAAGCATTTACAAAAAAAAATTAACACAAAACTGGACTTAGTCATTGAATTGACATTCAAACATTAGCAAAAATCAAATGTATTTCAGAAATAGTACTTTTTTTCTAATTGTGATTCAAAAATCAGAAAATACTCTAATTGACGTAAGAATAAAATGTATTTGATCCTTTTGTCTTAAAGTAAAAAGTGCAGAGGGTGCAAAAACAAAAAACAAAACTTTTTAAAATATTCAAACTCAGTGTTTGTGGGAACATAAAGAAATAAAAATATGATAATGGTTGTTTTCACTGGTTTTAACCCTCCTGCTGCCACCCACCTCAAACAGCAGGAGGGTTAAATAAACTCTTATTTCCTGGTTTCTGAAAGCGTTAACATCCCAGCCCCACATTCGTCAAAATTTAGGATTTTTTTTAGGAACTGAAAGCTCATTAAAAAAAAAGGACAGAAATATGCAGCTCAAAGCAGCTACATGTAAACTACACACATATATGGAACCACTATATTATCTCATCACACAACAYTGAAATAAAACCTGCTAATTTTTACATCAAATGACTTTTGGTAGTACACACACCAAAAAAAAGAGCTGTACAGCTCAGACACACTTCACAGCAGAAACATCATTTGAAAGTTTGACTTTACATATCTGAACTGGCACTTTGATCACTTTGATATACATATAAAACACTGCATAAACATTAAAAATCACATAGGTGACAATCCGCGTCTTCTGCTGCTCACAGCTCAAATCGTTTGAGATCTGAATTGTAGTTTTTGCAAAGCAGCTGTTTATTTGAGGCTTAGTTTTCAGTCTGCCCCCTCATAAAGCAGCAGCTTTAACATATCTTTTGAACTTGGTTCTCTTTACACTTCCTATGCAGTTCTAGTTAAAAATAGTTTGTTTTTCTTAGATTAATATAAAACTGGACATTTGGAACATTTTAAACTGACTAAATAAACTTTATAGTTAACATTATCAACTTATAAAGGTAGGATAAAGACTTTTAAAGTCACAATTTTCAGCATCACTAAATCAACATGCTGAGCAGTATTTGTTTTTGTTTACAGATATTTATATAAGCCGTGATTTTTTTTTTCCCCTAATTGATCCTAATAAAAACACAAACTAACTGGTCCAGTGGCACCAGCAGAATTCATTTGAGAGTTTAGCTGGTGTTAGATTCACAGRTGAACATCAGGTCTGAAGGCTTCAGGTCTCAGGAGTTGGAGGTGCTCCAAGATGCTTCGTTTTTTTAACGACTCTAGTTCTCATAACTTTGGGTCTTGTCCTCTCCGTATGTGACGTAGATGTTGTCTCGCCTCTTTTTTAAAGCTTCTCGAAGCTCACTGTCCAGCTCAGCTAGTGCAGACAGAAGACGTGTCACTTTTTGATTTTATCCACACAAACCTTGTGAACACAAATGATAAAACTAAATTATGTTTTATGTAAAAATGAAGTTTTTACACACAATTACTGTAGAGGCTTAAACTGGGCTGTTAAAGCTAAACCAAGCAGAATACTAGCTAAAAAGGAACACAATGGATGAAAGCTATATAAAAGTAGCAAAAGACGAGCCAGAAGCTAAAATAGCAAATGTTTACCTAAAAGCTAAAACTATCAAAAGGCTAGCTAATAGCTAAAATTAGCCAAAGGTGACCAAAGAAAGTCCAAAAGCTAAAAAGGTGCAGAAAGCTAATTAAAAGCCAAAGAAGCAGAGCAGTATTTAAAAGTAGAAAAATGCTAGGTATAAGCTAAAAGTAGCCAAACTTGAGATGAAAGCTAAATCAGCCAAAGCCTAGATAAAGGCTGAATGTAGAAGAAATGTAATGACAAGTTAAAAACACTWAACAAGTAAAATAAAAAAAAAAGCTAGGTAATAGCTAAAAATGGCACAGGATAACTAAAGACCAAATGTAGCAGAAAAGTAGCTAAAAATTAACAAAGCAGTAGCAAGTAAAATAAAAATGCTAGCTAAGATCTAAAAATAGATAAGGCTAAATTACAACCAAACATAGCAGAATAGTCTCTAAAACAGCAAAAATAAGCTCAAAGTAGCAAAAGGCTAGCTAGAAGCTAAAAGTTACAAAATTGTAGCTAGATGTAAATTTGCAAGCTAGTTAAAAAGGCTAGTTTTAAATGTTATATGTAATACAAAAGTAGTTAAAATTCAAAAATAGCTAAAAGCTAACTACAGTCTAAAAGAAGCTATTGTCTAAAAACAACATAATGGTATCTTGAAGCCTATATTAACCAAAAGACTAAGTTAAAACTATTAAAAGGAATAATCACTAAAAGTTAAAAGAATAGCAGAAGCCTAGCAAGGCAACTAAAAGACTAGCTAATAGCTAAAAGTTGCACAGGCTAAATAACAGCCAAACATAGCAGAATAGTATCTAAAATAGCAAAAGGCTAACTATGAGCTAAAAGTTACAAATGGAAACTAGATGTAAATTAGCAAAAGCCTAGTTAAAAGCTAAATGTAGCAGAATAGTAGCTAAAATAAAAAAATAGCTAAAAGCTAACTGCAGTCCAGAAGCAGGATGTTAAATGAAAACTAAAAATAGCTTATTGGTATCTAAAAGCCTATATTAACTAAAACACTAGTAAAACTATCAAAATAAGTAGTCGCTAAAAGTTAAAAATAGCAGTTGTCTAGTAAGGCAAAAAAAAAGAAACTAGGTAATAGTGAAAAGTAGCAAAAAAATGCTATATGTTAAGTAGTAAAATGGTAGGTAGACGTTAAATTTGCTAAATAAGTGTCCAAAAGTGTTTAGATGAAAAAAAAAAAAAGTCATGGTAAAAAAAACAAACAAACTAACAGTAATAAACAAATAACAGCTACAATAATATTCACCTTTCTTTAACATCTGGTCATAAGGCTTGCGGTCGTCTGGAACAACGTATTCCCCCTCATCGGGCTTCTCTGGACGTAGGTGGAAGTTGTCCGGGCTCTGTAGATGCTGCATTGGAGCCACCTGAGCCCTGGGCGGAGTTTGAGGCGAAGGTGAGGAGACGCTGATGCACTTTGGAGGCGGGGATGTGACTGAGGAACACAAACAGACACGTGTCAGGAGCTGTGGAGCCAGGCCAGGGATGTTTGTCAGGACAAGAGCTCTGCCTCACAGATGCGAGTGTCGTAGGGCTGAGAGATGACGTAAGGACAAAGACGATACTCGGTCTTCTCCAGGAAGTATTTGAGCACATCATCCAGGGAGGGGACGGTCACCTGCAGAGCGGAGAGGAGAAACAAGCCTGGAATCAGTCTTCGTTAACGACCTGTTAATGAGGCTTCAAGCATTAAATCATCTTAATCTGTAAAACAACTCTAAATGATATTAGGATCACATCTTCCAATTTGTTGAATCTTCCTCATACACCTGAGTTAGTTGTGGAGTTCCTCAGGGTTCTGTGCTTTGACCTATATTCTTTATTTTAAATTAGCTTCCATTAGGTAAAGTTATTAGACGGCACAGGATAAAGTTTAATTATGTTGATGATAAATAATTATATTTATCACTAAAACTTTACAAATCCAATCAGTTACTTAGATGGGTGTTTTTCAACCCTGGTCCTCAAGGCCCACTGCCCTGCAGGTTTTAGAGGTCTCCCTGCTTTGACACACCTGATTCAGATGACTACAGTTCAACAAAAGCCTGTTGATCAGTTGTCAGTTGAAATCAGCTGTGTTGAAGCAGGAACACATCTAAAACATGCAGGGCAGTGGGCCTTGAGGACCAGGGTTAAAAAAACAGACAGATTACAAACTTGTCATACAGATTTAAACATATTTGCCTGGATTAAATTACGATACAATTTCAGAGAGAATTTAAGACTTAATTTTATTTTTACCTCTCTGTGCTGGCAGCTTTACCTACATTTAAAAGAAAAACTCCTCACTGTTAATAGCTTTGAAAGCTACACACATTGTTAACGATTACCTTTTTTCAATCCTTTGTGGCTTTTAAACTGAACATGGAGAACCGCTGTTCTCTCAAACCGTAAAACACAAAAACGTCTGGTTGGACTCACCGGAGTGTCCAGCTCGATCACAAAGCCAACGTTTGTGGCGGTCACCCTGTAGTTCTTTATGGAAACACCACTGGAACACAATGAAGGCCATGATTACTGTCCTGAACTGACAGATGTTTCTGATTTCTTTTTTAGAGAGTTTTCTTTTATCTGCAAGCCTTTTTCTGTTGGTAATTGCCAGGGGTTTTCGGTAATCAAACCTGGAGGTCTTTTGTCTGAGGGTCAGGGCGTAGTTCTTGGGCAGGGCAGACGGGCGGAGGATGATGCTCCCGTTCTCTGGGTTGTCTTCCAGCATCTTCTCGGCCTCCTGTCGGCTGACATCGAAGAAGCAGCTGCAGGAGGTGAAGAGAAGGACAGAAGGTGACGGCGTTGCTGGTGGAAGTGCAGACAGGAAGACAAAGGAGGTGGAACTCACGTGGGTATCGTGGCGCTTTTGGGCTTCAGTTCGTTCGGGCGGGGTGGGAGAGGAGGCCGTGACAGTGGAAGTTTTCGCTTGCTCTCCAGTTCCAGAACCTCCTCCAGCTTCATCATCTGACCGGGCAGCAGCTGCAGCCTTTGAGGAATCTCTTTCTGCAGGAAGACACACCCAAGTTACCCGACAGACAATTACTCTGTGACTCACCAGAGACATGCAACGCATCATGATCCGCTGCTGGGAAAATGAGTTTTATGATCTGTTTATGAGAATATAACCTCTTCCTGCTGAGCATTATCAACTGTGATGGCTAAATAACTAGTGAATACAAAAACAAGCAGATCTGACAAACAAAAAATATGTTTTTAATGTTTTATGACAACAGTCTGATATAAAGGATAAACATAAGACACATTTTTAATAAACTTTCCTTTTTTTACAGAGCATACATCCCTCTACCTCTCCCTACTCTCACTGCAGACCACACAATAAGTACGAGGTGCCAAGTGTAAAATGAAATGTTTAAAAAATTTCAGAAACATATTTTTCATTACTTAGCTCACCGTTAAATGTTAAAAATATATTTAAATATTAAATCCTAAATCTAAATGTAAACATTAAACCTTAAATGTTGAAGTAAAATGTTGAAGTTCACATTTAGGTATTTTTGGAATTGAATGCTGTTTACTGTTGGTGCTCGGCACATGTTATGATGTCATCACCCTGAGACAATACCACGGCCAGCGCTCCACGTTAGTGGGAAATTAAATCACTCAAAAAGTGAGTTAAATAAAAAATATATATATGTTATGTTTAACATTTCATGTTATGACATTTTCTTTAACTGTGAACCAACATGTATTAGTTTAATTTTACTTCTGATATTTTTGAATTAAACACAAAAGATATGTTCCAGGAAATATAAAATATGAGTAACTTACCTAAATTATGTAACTTACTAAAATATTTTTAATATTTAGAATCTAAACTGTGGTCCAGTGTGGTCCTGCTAATCAGCTAACAGATAATAGCAGAACTAATTTTTCATTAAGTGGATTTGCATTTTCACTATCTTTGAGAACTGTTAGCGGACCAATTAGCTTTCATTAAATTAGGTTTTGCCAACATTAGTCAACTAACAGCTAACTAACGAACTAACATTGACAGATTTGTGTCAGTCCACCAATCTTCTGTAGAGGACCGACACTGACATAATTAAAAATAAAGCAGAAATATATAAATGGCCCAATAAATAAATATACACTTAAAATAATTTTTAAATGGAGAATTTTACATTACGTTTTATCATTTCATTGATCTTCATATTTATTTTTCCAGCTTAGTTCCAATAAATTATGTAGTCTTTTAACACAATTCAAATTTTACTGTTTTTAAAATAAATATATTTATTTATAGTACTTGTAAATACATCTCTTAAAAATTTGTTCTTAATTTTTTTCCTGTTTTTGCTTTACCTTATGCATTTCTGCCTCATTATACAAATAAGGTGGGTTGCCCTTCTTGGGTCTGCTCCTCTACTATTGGTCAGTAGACAGGAAGCAGCAGGATCCATGTGCCTGCACTGCCTCAGTCATGCAACCAAAGTGTAGTGAGCAAAAAGACTGTCTGTCTCTGTGTTGTTAAGGGAAGCTGCAAATAGACTTCCTCTCAAATAAGTTGTGTTCTCCTAAAACAGCCAGCAGAATTTTTAATTATGTCAGTTTCAGTCCTCCACAGCCTTCAACTTGATGGAGAAGACGACGCAGGCTGAGTGACAGCCATTGTAGCGGTTAGCAGTTAGTCATTAGTGTTAGCTTCTGCTATTTTTTTTTCTCACATGTTTAGCATCAGTAAAGCTATATTTTTAGTTAGCAAATTATGATTGAATGAAGCTAACATTTTGGCTAAAGGCAAAATTGTATAGAAAAGTCAAATTTGAGAACGGAAAGTAGCTACAGATAAATGTCGTATCACTTTTTGACCCTAATAGGTATACTAAAATAATAATATTATAAGGGTACTTTTATTGAAAAGTGTTACCAAAGTAATTTTTTGCATCCTTTTGTTTATTCAGAGCTTTCCACAGTCACATATCTGTGTTTTTGTTTCAAAGTATTKTTCAGGCTGAACACTTGACTAAAGCCATAAACTAGAATAATTCCTCTTCTTCGGCCACATAGTTATTATTTTTCCTCACTTTGAACACCGTCATGATGTATCCTCTCCATTCTTCTCCTGTATCGGCAGAGTCCATCTGTCAGCAGGCAGCAAACACGCAGAAAACAAACAGAGGGTTAGAATATTTCATCATGTAAAACCTGGGTGGTTACTGATGTCMTGTCAGGAATCGGTTTGCAGCCGACCTTCAGCTGCACCATCTCTGAAGGCAGGTTCAAAGTGAGGATGGTTGGTTCCTTCTTTTTATAAGAAATGTTMGAGTCCATGGACCTCATCTGCTCCAGGTCCAGCCTTTCTACGTACTGAAACACACATTTACAATCTGAGCTGTCAGCTGAACTTCTGCATCATATAACCCTTGAACAGATTTTGTATAAACTGTCAGTGGAACAGATTTCTTACAGTTTCCTGGGTGTCACTGTCGTACAGAAACAGCGTGGATCCTCTCAGCTCTCCATAGAAGTCTTTGAAGTTCTGGAAGTCATAAAAAAATGTTCTGAATTGTTCATGTGGATGAAACGATCACCTTTGTGCAGCAGTGCGAAGCAATAAATTCACTCATTAGGGGCTGTTGGGGCCAAAGTACAACAGTGAACAGCTTTTTATGCTTTACAGTTTACAGTAACCCACAGTTTACTTTTGAATGATTGTTTTAAAGTTTACAAGAAAAAAACGTGAATTTATATTTTAGATTTTATGAATGCTGAGTCAGAACTACACTATGGTTTTACCTGTTTTTACTCTAAGTTTTTTTTAAACAACCCAACTACGTCTACATACTGATTTAACCGGATGTACATCAGAACATTCAGCTCAGGAGATGGGCACTATGAGTTTTGGTTTTTGTTACTTTTATTCTTTTCAGTATATTGAAACTTTATTTACACAATTTGGAAATACAAATATACATTAAAATCTCATCAGTTGCTTTGTTTTATTTGAAATCTGCTTCAGAAGACTGACAGCCTYCTTATCTAAACTTTCACTGCTTTTAAGTAGCATATTGCTGGTTTTAGCTTACTCATAGCTGCTTTAGCAAGACTTTAAACTTTTTCTGATTTTAAGTAGAATATTGCTACTTTCAGGTAGCTCTTAGCTACTTAAGCAAGACTTTAGATACTTTTAGTTTTATCTAAACTTTCACTGATTTTAAGTAGCATGTTGCTACTTCTAGTTTCCTCTTAAATGCTTTAGCTAGTTTTTTGGTACTTCTAGCTCTTAGCTTTTAAGTAGCACATCGCTACTTTTAGCTATCTCTTAGCTGCTTCAGCAAGACTTTTGGTCTGTTTAACTTTTAAGTTTTGCTGCTATTAAATAGCATTTTGCTGGTTTAGCAAGACTTGTATCCTATTTTTTTATTTTAGCTACTTTTATTTTGTAGTTAGCCTTGAGTATTTAGTCTTTTAGCTTGCTAGCTTTTTAGCCTTTTGCTACTTTTATGTTCTAGCCATATTTTGCTGCTTTTAAGCATTTTCTACKTTTATTTTCTCATTCTCTACTTGAAACTTTGAGCTAGAACTTTAGCTACTTCAGCAAACATGCTCTTACAGTATATTTTTTCCCGTTTTCAGGTTTTAAATAATTTCCAGTGACATTTAGCTTTTTTAACCTTTTACCTTTGTCTAGCTTCTTGGTAGTTTTTTTACTTTAAGAGTTTAGCTCATCTTTTTTAGTGTTTTGCTAATTTTATCTACTGTTTTACCATCTTTAGGCTTTTATCTACTTTTTAGTTCCTTTAAACTAGAGTTTTGCTTCTTTTAGCTGCAGTTCAGTTTGAGTTTAACAAATTTCAGCAGTCATTCAGATCTCAGCTGCATTTTGGCAGAAAATCAAGTTTTGTTACTTTAGTAAATCATTGTTTGTAGGAGCAGCTACACTTTTGGTTGACATGTTTAAATATGTATATAGATTAAAAAAAACTTAAAACTTACTACATCTTTTTTACACAAACACCTGAAAGGAAGTGTGTTGTTACCTTCTCTCTGGAGCTTTTCTTCAGCAGATATCCAGAGTAGTAAAGAGGCAGAGCTGTGATGGCCTCCCTCCTCTTGTGGATCACTCTAGGGGGGACAGCCATGACCCGGTTCTTTGTCGAAAACCTCCAGACTTCTTTCTGCTCTGGTTTAGTTGGTTTCTCTCAGCTGCGTCCTGGGAAACCTCTGGAGCTCCTGTGTGTCTCTTCGCTGACACAAACAGTCTGATATGTTTTCCCAGATTATTACTGGTCCATAAACCTTTGATGACCTTTCCTTCAATCTGAGGGCTGCTGTGTGAGAGAACGAGGAAACGCTGCACTGATTTATGAAGAAGGAAGTGGTTAGTATAAAAAAGCCCCACAAATGATTGTATTTTGAACCTGGGCACAGACTGGTCAGGAGCAATAAAGCATGGAGGAATGCGTGCATAGTTGTGTGCACGCACACACACACACACACACACACACACACACACACACACACACACACACACTTTCTAGGTTACAACCTTAAGATTAATTATTTGCACGAAACAAATGACGAGAAAAGATAAAACGTTTATTTCTTCCTCACATGAGCAACAGGTTAAAATCAACTCTTGATACAGTTTTTCAGTTTTATTGTACATTTTTGTTTTCAGTTTGAATAAAATTGTATGGATACAATATAATATGATCAACTGAGAGTTCAGAGCTCAAAACAAATAATAAAAAGCTAATATTATAAACAGTGCATGCAAACAGAGTCCCGAGAGGTTTCTGACCAGTTTTTTTCCTGCTAAATTCAAACAAAGGACATCCATTCAGGAACTTTATCAGTGAYAAATCAGAGTCGAATATTAGAAAAACGGTTGATTTATGAATTAACATCTGTTATGTSCTATTGTACATTATCAAACAGGAAGAAACTTAATACCTGAAACCTGATCTATTCTGTCTGAAAATAAAAGGTGTGACTCACTGAAGGTCTTAAAACTCATCTGTTACAACCTTCAGACTTCACACATATGCAGTAGATAAAGATAATAAACCAGTCTGCAGACATTAGAGCCATCTGGCGGTAACAGGAAATCCACCAAATCAAACAAATATTTTGTAATTTGAAAATGTCTAGAAAAAAATGACTTAAAATGCAGAAATATARGATTAAAACAGACCTAACTGTGAGGGCTTGTTGATGTGAGTGTTTGCCTGTAAGCAAAATATCACATTACCCAGTGGACAAAACTTTAAATGAAACATCAACAAGTCATAAAACGAGTTTCATTCATTCATGTAAAAACATAAACTAGGCTGTACCTTACATCTGAAAAACCTCCCAGGACTGATGTGATGTTCTCCGGACCCCGCTGGTCCCCTCAGCAGCTCGGATGTCCTTTAAATTTCTCATCGCTGAGGGAGCGTTAGAGAAACCAACACAAAGGAGGGAAAAGCAGCCTCTGTTCTCCATCACATGGCCTCTAATGAAGCAGCCTCTGACTGAGCAGAAAACGACCGCAGGGACCGGAGATAACAACCTCCTGAAGTGATGAAGCTTCATCGGGCCTCCGAGATAACATGTCTTTGTTTTCTGGCTGCAGATCATTTAAAAAACTTATTTTAAGAGAGATAAACTGTTACTGCCTGCTGCCGAAGGCAAAACAATGATGTTTATGTCTGTGTTTGTTAGCAAAATATCTCATGAACAACTGCAGAGAATTTATAGAAACTCTCACAAAGCAATCAYTGGATGGACTTCTACAACCAAATAAAAGTCAAGATTCCATTATTTACTTTACATTTTACTTTATATTTTACATTACTTGGTCAATCCAAGATTGACCAAGTCAGATTCAAAATGTCTGCCACAGATCAGCGTCTTCAACAACCACAAAAAATAAAAGACTTCAACTCGATACGTTTTATAGATAAAGAGCTAAAGCTTGGTGTGGTAGTAGAAGAGAGTCACTCCGGACATTGACTTAAAGGGCTACACATTACACARCGTCTTTGCTTATTAACTGTGACTTTAACTGTTATAGTAAACCTTCCCACATAGCAAAATGTGTCTGGCCCAGTTCTGGCCCACACAAGACAAACACTGGRTGCCGATACAGCAAAAAATTACAAYCCTTTTGTGACCCAGATGTGGTTTGCCGGAGGTGGTCCATGCATGAGCCAGCACTACTTAAACTAAACCATAACTGAGACTGTTGTTGCATTGACAGATTCGGGCTACGTAAACCAAAACACAATTGGGCCAGTTGTTGCATTGATAGATTTAGGCCACATAAACCAAAACACAACCTGACCAGTTGTTGCATTGACAGATTTGGGCCAAATAAACCAAACTACAACTGGGCCAGTTGTTGAATTGACAGATTTAGGTGAAATAAACCAAACCACAACCGGGCCAGTTGTTGCATTGACAGATTTGGGCCACACAAATCAAACCACAACTGGACCAGTTGTTGCATTGACAGATTTGGGTCACATAAATCAAACCACAACTGGACCAGTTGTTGCATTGACAGATTTGGGTCACATAAATCAAACCACAACTGGACCAGTTGTTGCATTGACAGATTTGGGCCACACAAATCAAACCACAACTGGACCAGTTGTTGCATTGACAGATTTGGACCACATAAACCAAACCACAACCAACCAAATAGGAATAGGAAAGCTTATCGCCCACTGCTAATCTGACTCACAATAAGATGAACTTGGTTCAAAACTCTGACATGACTGGCAGCAGGCGTTAAGCATTCTTTTGAGGAATGCTGGACTTTTAACTTCCTTGTTTTCTTGATATTGATTTTCTTTCTTCAGTTATGACCTGAAGGCCCTGAAGAACAGAACGGAGAGGAGAAATTCACTTCAGAGCTGATTTTTTTTAAAATGGAAAACATTTGAGCACATATCAGTTTAGACTAACCTGACGGGTCTGAGTTATAATCAGCTTCCAGTCGGGGGTGAAAAGTCGGGCTGGGGTCAAACTGTTCCCACGTGTCACAGCGGGATTGCTGCTGGTCGTGGCGTTCACAGCAGGAAAAGTCCCCTCCTGGAAAAATATAACGTCTTTAGAGCAGATTCCCTTTTATTCTCACCTTTGTGYCTTTCTCAATTTGTTCTAATTAGGACAATGATAAACCAGCCCACATGCACCGGGAGCCTTTCTGCGCTTAACTACGTGCATTTTTCTTTCCAATTTCCTGTCCTAATGCTTTCAGTGATGGACCGGTGGAGGTGTTAGCAGGCCTGCGATTAGAGGCTGAGGCGAGGAGAAGGAGGGAGCCTGCTGGCTGAGAGGATGGAGGCCTGCAGAGGTCAGGTGGACCTCCTGCCGAGGAGACTGGTCTGAATTGTTCTGACAGAGTCTTACACATCTGTCTGCTGTGAGGTCTGGACGATCAGCTGCTCCAGAAAAACCATGAATCACAGCAGCAAGTTTCATCTGCAGGAAAAGTTCCTGATTTAGTTTGGAACCAGAAAAAATTTGATAAAGGTAACAAAAAAARGGATTTTTTTCTCATGATGAAGGATGATCATTCTAAAAACTCCAACRAGGCGAGTGGGAAATTTAAATGGCCTAAATTCAAATGTTTTTTCCACCATTTTTCTACACATTTGCTGATATTTGTGTTGAGAAAAAAGGTTATTTTTAAACTAGTTTTTTAGTTCATCATCAGAAGACCAAAGCAAACATTTCCAGATGATCAAACAGCTCGAAAACACGAACCCAAGAGTCCTGCCGACTCACCTTCTTTGTGTTTGATGTATTTTCTGATTCCCAGAATCCCACTTATTGAAAACCTGGACTCTGAGGAACACTCCGCTGCCACAGAAACAGATGATGCTAAAGATGCAGAGGTTCACCAAACATCAGTGAGAGGAAAACTCGTCAGAAGAAAGAAAGATGGAYGGAAAATATACTCACTGACTTCACAGGACGTGGATCGGATTTTGTTTCTGATGATCCTGCAGAGACAGAGGGAGCCCAGGAGATGGATTTGTGACGTCAAACACACATTTACACACAGGTTAATTCTACCTGTTGACTGAGCTGACGCTGGGCACGTTGTCGTCGTCACACACCCCCTCCAGCACCAGCCTGTCTCGGATCTCCCAGGCGAACATGGTGGGGCTGTTGCGCTTCAGCTGCAGCATCTTTTGCACCACCGTGGGTGTGGCCACTTTGGGCTTGGAGCCCCCGATCAGACCTGGTCGGACGCTTCCCGTCTCATTGTACCTGCAGAGGACGAACAGAAAAAGAGTCCAGAAGCTTCTGCGGCCTGAAACTCAATAAAAACGAGGACCAGACTGAGAAGATAAACGAGAAACAGTTTTTTTCTCCAGTGGTTTTCACTTTTCACCAGTTTTCTATCTAATCTTCAGTCCGTTTGCACCAAACATTTAATACGAAACAGTACAACAGACAATAACGACCCTCAGGAGAGAGGGGAGGTGATTTGCTTGAGTTGAGTTTGCACTGTAGCTTCAAAGATTAAATCAAAAACGACAACAACAAATAACCAAACAAAATTCAGATAAAGAAGTTCAGCTGATTAAAAAATTAAAACAACACTTTAACAGTAAAATGTAAATTTTAACTGGAGATCAAGCAAAGCAATTCACAAACAACTGTTCAAAAAGAAGATATTTTGTTACAACAATTAGAAAGAAGAGGGTGATATTGCATTTCATGAAATTACTATTTATAATTTAGAAGTAATTACAATAAAATCATCACAAATTATTTCTCTCCTCTTGCCTCCTTGACTGGATAATTAAGATGAAGATTTTTTTATTATTTATTCCATATATATATATATATATAACCTTTTTTCCTTCGTTTGCTATTGTTTCCACAGGATTTTATTGTTTATCCTAATAAACTAAAACAATATAAGCACAAACTTATTTAAAAGGTCACAGTTTGTTTGCAAAGTTAAAATAAAAAAAGGTTAAAACATAATGAGTTTGACTGGAGACACACCTGCTGATGGGCTCGGCCTGATTAAAACACCTGATTAAAGCTCGTGAAGGCTCACCTGTGCAGGATTTTGCTGACACAGCCGTGGCTGACGCGCAGGCGCCGCGAGATCTCGCAGGGTCGCGCGCCGCGCCGCGCGAGCTCCACGATGCGCTGCCGCAGCTCGTGCGGCAAGGGTCGGCCGTTGATGAAGACCCCGCCGAGCTGGTTCACCCCACCGTGTCCTGAGGACAGACCCGGTTCAGAAAGTTCCGCAAAGCAACTTTTCTGAGTTGGAGTTGGAACACTTACTGTGCAGAACCGCGAGCGGAACCAGGTCCAGGTCCAGCTCCATCACTGGAAAGACAAAACTGCAGGAAATAAAAAAAAATAAAAAAGTGGGGAAATATCCTGCCTTCAGCTTTTTGATAACTTCTCCATCTTCATCCAAATATTTTCATAGAGTTTTAGAATTACAATAAAAACAATTAAACACAAACTAGTTATTTTAAAGTAAAAAGCAGCTTTATGTCTCTCCTCAGCTCCTGCAGGAGTCTGATCCCTCAGAGGAGGAGCTGTTTGGTTAAACCTGTGCGTAAAATGGGAGGGACACGTTCAGGATGCTGCAAAACACTGCAGCAATGTTCATCGTGTAGTCTGACAACTTTATCCTAAAACACAAATCTGTTGTTTCTCTCATGGTATTACGTTTAATAGTGCAAAAATGGGTTTTATATTAATTGTTGCTGGATTTACTGGTTACTGATCCGTTAAAACGGATTAAGTCACCAAAATGCAAGAGCTCAACCAGAAGTCATATTTGTTTCTTATCATTAAAATCTCTCTGATGTTTATAGCTTTTAAGTAATTTTGTAATAAATTAGGCTTTAAATTACCTGATTTTTTTTATTAAAATGTTCACTTTTAACCTATAACTATAACCTGATCAAATGGACTAAAATTAGGAAAACAATTTACAAGTTTGAAAATATAGATTTTTTATAAGTGTAATATCAGTTACAACATTTATAAGGGGGTTTGATCTTCGTACACATTTTATTGTAAAAAGTGTTTTTCTTGTGTCATGTGAAAAGCGTCCTGAACGTAGGGTTCCTTTTTTGTTGGCCAACTATTTCCCCCCAGTGTTGTGTTGAAACACCTGGGGGGGCGTGGCCATCGGGTACTGCAAGCTGTAGCTGCAGTTTCAATCAGCGGACACGTGAATTAGATAACTTCTGTCTACGCTTTATGAAGGATAACATTGCCATTTGTAATTAAGGTAACGCTAATAATCCAAATTAAAATGGGGGTCTACGGAAAAGCGCTTTTGTTTGAAAAAGTTTCCTTAATTATGTTTCGCTTTTAACTTATACACAACAGCACAGTCAGTGAGAGTGTGAAGCCATGTGGAAGTATTTACAAACAACTGTACGTTTTTTTAGTTTTTCAGTTGTGAAGGCTTATAAAAAATTAACAATGATCTGTTCTTTACAGATTTAAAGCTCCTCGTGTAAACGTGTAATTATCACCAGAACTACCAGCATTTTCGAACAACTCCTACCAGAGACTGCCAGATGGCAGTGCTGGGGTCATTTGCAACCCATTAGGCCACCTTTTCTAATGTACATGCATCCACCACCAGGTAATGCTAAACGGGGGTGATAGTGTGAACTATGTGGATCCAGAAGAAAAACCCTTGATTTTAACCAATCTTGATACGTAAAAACATAAAATGTTTGCCAAATGGGTAAGATATTTTGACGTAAAACAAGAAAAAATGTCCTGATAAGATTCTTTTATTTAGGTTTTTATGAAAATTTAAGTAAAAAAAAGTATTTTTTTCCCAAGTAGCTGAGTTTTTTTTTGGTATAAATTTATGTAAAAATATCTACCTATTGGCAG